ACCATTCTATGATTCTATGTTAAGGCAATCACTGTGTTTTAACAGAATTTCACACCAGTTTGGCTAAGACACTGACATTGCCTGCCTGGTGTCAGAGCTGGCTAGCTAGCTCTAATTAAATGAATGCTTGGGAAGGGAGCAGCAGATAGGCACTCCTTCTCCATAGAGTGTTAAGTGAACACTGAGCTTTGTGGAGCCACAAGCAGCTTTCACTGCTGCTGACACTTTTATGCTCACAATTGATAGGAAAACTGTATCATACTGGCCCTATGTGCTTCCTTCCGTACACAACAGAAGGCAAATGAAATATCTTGTTTTTGTGTTTACAATTCTAAGTGACCAGCTGCTTTGATTGATAGAGCATCTTCATGAGGAAGAACAGAATGAATGGGCTATGTGTAACTTTTGGTTTAGCTGCCTGTAACTGGTTTGGCCCTGCAACTGGGCAGTTTATTTTGTTTTGGAATGAATGTGAAGCCTGGTGCTGTTGCACCAGCGTAGTTCCTTTTCTTTGCATTATTTCTTCATTTAGGGCTACAGGAGGCCCGAAGGGGGGCAAGATGCAGCCAAATCTGTCATTAGCTGTAATCCATCTGGTACTGTCAGGAGTGAGATTTCTTAAGTATTAAGAGTAGGGTAAAGCAATGAAAGTTGTTGGACTTAGAGTATTCTCTGGCAAATAGCACAGTATTTCTTAGCTTTGTGAAACTGGTATATTAATGATAGCCCTATTCTTTGAGCTACTGTATTGTAAAAAGGGTGCTACTGTTTTGATGCTTAAATGATGAAATGCCTTGTGTTCTAAGCTGCATACAGCAATCCAAATTTTGTAATGTCTTTAAAAGACACTGGCTTTTAATATCAGTTAAGTTTGTAAATGCCTTTGAAGTAGACAAATAAGCTACAGAGAACATTTTAAACTCCTATGTACAAAACTGTAAAAAAAAAAAAAAAAAAAAATTAAAAATTACTTTCACAGAAAATATTTAGGTTGAAATGAACTGGAGGATTTCTAGGCCTACAACTGCAATGTGAGGTTCTAGGCATTTTCTTCTGCTTTCTTCAGATGTAGAGCTCTGGCACAGCTTGACTTCCCAGCCAGCTTGAATTTGTGTTTCATCCCTGATTGCTAGAGGCACTCCTGTATTAATTTGCTTCAGTCTGCTGTAATTTGTGGCAAGACATTTTTCATGTTAATGGCAGAAATGCAGTATAACATCAGATGAATGTGTTATGTGCTCAGTTCAAATAGTCTCATTTTATGTAGCTTGTAGGCAGTTATCTGAAATACACAGTTGTGATGTATAAATGACATTACTATTCCTTCCTGTTAAGGAGAGTAATGGTCCAACAGACTCCTATGCGGCTATATCCCAAGTAGATCGACTGCAGTCAGAACCGGAGAGTATTCGTAAATGGAGAGAGGAGCAAAAGGAGCGTCTGGAGCAACTTGGTAAGGAGGGCGTTTGCAGTAGTGCTCTTGCCTGTGAGTAACTTAGTGGCAGCTTCTTAACCAGCAGAATTTTCAACCGTGGCTTCTGGCTCCTTGCAATGTAATATGCTTCCTGAGTTTGAACAGCGAGCCCGGACGAGTCCTCCAGTAATCAGACTTAATACTGGTGCAGGGGTCAGCAAGCAAGTGTATCTCTGAACCTTAAAAATATTCTCATGGTCTGCCCTTTACTTACAAGTAACCTGACTGAAAATGAACAGCTTGTATCAGCAGCAAAGACTGAATAAATACTGCAGCCATCAGCACTTTTTTTTTTTTAAAGGATAAGGGTTGCTCATTTTGTAATTGCCATCTCTTGTCACACAGATCTTAATCTAACAGCTAAGTAATGGCCTAGTAACTAAACTAAATACAGGTACCAAATGCAGTGATACCTACCTGTAGCTTCTAAGAGCCTCAAACTGGTATGCTTTCCAATTACATTAGGGAGGAGGCTTTGCTGGAAACTTTTAGGACAGAACCTTCTGTACAATATGATTCTGGATAGAGCTGAGCCCGTTGCTCCTTGTCTGGGCTAGTTACAGCAGATGAGCTTGTCCTGAGTTGTAGGCTGGGTGTAAAAGCATACCGAGTGGCAGGCCCCCGTGCTTTGTCCGAGCACAGAGGCTTTACTGAGCTTTGTTCTATAGCACTAGCATGGCAAGGTGACTTTCTGTTTCTGAACAGTTTGCAGGCCAACAAACTTACCGAATCTGAATTAATCTACAAATGCCTATCCTAAATTGCCGTGTCCCGGTTATGCAGCACAGACATTCTGTTTAGGTGATCCTCTGAATGTTCATGATATTTAGAGCTGTCATGGCCTAAATCAGGAAATCTCCTAAACCCTTATGTGAGTAATCAAGCAACTGCCTGCACCAGAGTGTACTCTGAGTCATCTGCTGAAAAGTTAGGAAGATCCAACTGGAACCAACAAGACTGACAAATCAGTACTTAAATCTTCAGATGCAAACTCACGAAAGCAGGAAGCAGAATGGAGAGAGAAAGCAATAAAAGAGTTGGAGGAGTGGTATGCAAGGCAAGATGAAAAGCTCCAGAAAACAAAAGCCAGCAACAGGTAAGGTTTCTGCAGGCATCCAGAGTTATGGTATTGGATATGAAACTAATGGAGGAAGGAGGTTAGCATACTTCTAGTATGTTCTGGGGCACTAGTCCTTCAGATCATTTAAGTAACCTCTCCTAAGAAATGAGAGTCCCGTGGTAGACTGTCTGTTTTCTTAGAATCTAGATTAAATGTCCAAGAGTAGCAAGAGCAAGCATTAAGATAATGAACCACAATCACTGAAGACTTCAAAGTTTGAATGTGGCCAGAACAAGTTTTAGTCTATCCCCTTGTTTGCATGCTCCTAGCTACACAGATCTTCAGCGACTCTAACTACCTACCTGGAGACTAGCATCTTACTTTCTATCCTTAGAACACATGGAAGTGGCCTTCTAGTCAGTTTTTGCTACAAGTTATTTCATTAGATATCTTAAAGCCTTTGGTTGCTTCTTTTAGAAGTGTCTGAGAAATAACCTGACACAATTCTGCTAGTAAAGATTGAAAATGTTGACTGTGTCTGTGTTGGGTTTGAATTGTCTAATTATGGGCCCTGGCGCAGTAACTACTGACTTGGCTGCTAGTCTAGTAAGCTCTTACACTTCCTTAGAGGTTCTCTGTGGGATTTTGACTTCAAGCGAGGTAAAGGTAGACATGATAGTACTGACTTAATACCACCTACATACCTGCTTCTGACTGAGGGTTGCCAGTGTCATTCTGTCCAGGTAATCATCAGGGCTGCTTTATACTTTGGAAACCCACAGACTTAAGATGAACTGGGTTTTTTGAAACACCATTTTTTCTTACCAAAATGGCCACCAGGTTTGTCTTGAGTATGTAGAGTCCCTAACAGACTCTACTTCTTACTAAAGGAAGAAAGGAGGCCTACACTTCCTACAGAATTTTGGATTTGACCATTCCAGTCACTTAAGTACAGTCTTTTGGTTGGGCCAAGAGAGGGAAACAGGATTGACACTCTACTTGGTCGCCAGAGCTCATGATATCCCCATAGCTTTATTGTGCCCAGTGTGTGAGTGAGTCCAGGGTATGCATCCTCACCAGCTTGGTGAGATCTATCTCCTAATGGTAGTTTCTGTCTACTGGAAGTAGCCTAATGCTAACACTGGGACTCCAGTCCTCAACTAGCTGGTACCCAGCTTCTAGGATGTAGCAGAGGTTTTGTGTGGCCCGTGGGAGGCAGTGCCTTAATTGATACATTCCATGTGGTAGCTGCTTTTCTGTTCCAGTAAGTCTAGGTGATACAAGGTTAATGTGTTTGTTAATACAGCCTCTGGCTGTGTTCCCTACTTTTCATCCTTATCTCTTTTCTCCTGCCTGCTTGCCTGCCTGTTGGACTGCTTGTTACCTAGGGTGGCAGATGAAGCTTTCTACAAACAACCCTTCGCTGACGTGATTGGTTATGTGTATGTTGCTTAACTACTAATTTGGTTTGCTAGTCAACTAGGTAATGAGAAGGATCAGAAAGTGTGGAATGTCTCAAGGTGACTTCTGAGTATTTCAGGATAGTTTAGGCTACTATAAGCAAATAGCCTTCACATTTTGGACTGAATCTGAATTATTAAGTGCAGCTTTCCTGTAAGGATCCCATACACTGCACAACGTTCAGCATTGTCAGATTGTCCCATGGTATATATACCACCAGTATTGGTAACAACTTCAGTAGTCTTTAGATGCAGGGGTTTACAGGTGTTTGCAGGCCAGTGAACACTGACTGCACAGCAAGATGCTTTGCCTGGGTATGTGGGTTAGTGTCTGCAGTCTCACATGGGTGCTGTGTTTGGTCCTAGTCACTTCCACAGAGAAGCACAATGTTTAACTCTGCATTCTCTGTTACAGGCACTGAGCTCCTGATCTGTGCTCATTTGCCTACGTAATCAGAAAAATATTCAAGCACATAAAGCTCTGCCAGCCAAGAAAGGTAGAAAGGAATCACCTGCCATAAATCAGAGTAGAAGAGGTGCATGCATACAGAAATAGAATGCTGTGAGAGAAGGAATGAAAAGTATAAGAGGTTAGTATTAGAAAATCTGTGTTAGCTGCTGAGAGAACACTTAGGAGCCGCTGTGTGTAGACATTTTCACAAGCCTAATGAATCAATGAGAACACAGCCGTGACTTTTTCAAGCCCCACTGAGTATGCTAGTTTTCATGGGGTGGAAGGATGACAGTGTTCATTGGCTTGTTCATGTATTTTAATTTCTTCCCTTAATTTGTAGACTTGGATTGAAAGATGGCCATGCCACGGAGTCTAAGGTGACACCTTTAGAAGGTGTATTGGTGAGCCATGGTGTGGCTTTGAGTGCATTAATACTGAAGGCTCACTGTGGAATTCATTACCTAACTGTAGGTGGATGTAAACCAAGACTTGTGAAATGATGGATTTACAGGTGGTTTTTGACTTTTCTGAAGTCTCCTGGAGTTAATTTTAATAGATTTTTCCTTATTTTCATATATCCAGTGCAAATGTGGATTTTAAGTGTTGCAGCATAAAATTGGCAGCCTGTTTCCTGAATGTGGGCTAAGCTACTAGTGCATGTTCAGCCAGCTGATCATCTGCATTAAACTCATTCTCATTTTCTATATCTGACTTAAACTTTCTCTCTTTCTTTTCTTCTCTTCACCTTTAAGCACAAACATAAATCATCCTTGCTACAGCCTAGAACAGTTAAGTAAAAAAATCTTCACTGCCCCTTAAAAGTGTTGTGTAACATAAATAGCAGTGTTGTAGTGACCCTTGTCTTCAGTGGTGTCTGTAACCTTTTCATCCCTGTGAACAGTGCTGAACCCTCATGGGAGAGTCATCTTCACGGCTTTTTCTGTACTGCTTGTTGGAGTAGATGGATTTGGTTTGATCTTTTGATACAAGCTGCTCTTGCACTTGGGGCAGCTTCCAGGGCCCCACAGATCATGTAAACTAGATGCTGGAGTTCAGGAGCAAGTCTATTGGCAGCACAGCAGTGCCAAAAGGATACAGCTGGGAAGCTGCTGGCACAAACCTGTGCATAACGTACAAAGCCTCCTTAGTCGTCTTAGGTGATAGCAGAGGAAGTATGTTTATCCTGTGAGCTGATCTCAGATGAATCATCCCCTCTGCCAAGATATGCTTTAGTCTATAGCACCCACAAGCATGGGATTCATAACTTAAATTTCTTTTGATTCATGCTGCTTCACTACAGCACAGGGAATCATCAGCAGACAGTTTTATGATAGCCTGTAGGTCTTGGGCTGATTTAAATCCGTAACTGGAATCTGTTTTAAGACATGCTTGCAGGGAGTTTAAATTTACAGATGGCAAGTGTCCAATATAGGACAGCAAGAGGCTTAAGTAGTTAAGACTCGGACATTTCTCCATAAAATGCCTATGTAGGAGTACCTTACTTCTTGGCAGTTTGCATGGTGACTCCTAAGGCAAAGACTTAATAACTATTCTTAAAACCAAACACCTGTAT